TTTTTATCTTTGATTTTTTTCAAGAAATTTTTGAAGTTTCTCTCCAATATTAGATTAAGATTGCAATTACAATTCTCCTTCTTTGATAAATAATCCTAAAAATTCTATTTCTATTTTAGCTATCTCAGTTTTCTTTTGAGAAAGTGTAATACCATATTTTTTCATAATATAACAAAATTTCTCAAGATGTTCAATATGTTCATCAATGTTTTTTGAATGAATAAGTAAATCATCTACATATGCAATACAAAAATGAGTAATTGGTTTGATTACGTCATCCATTCTTCTTTGGAATATCTGTGGCGCATTTTTCAACCCAAATGAAATTACATTTCATTCGTATTGTCCTAAAGGATTGGGGGTACTAAATATAGTTAATGGTTTACTTTCTTCTGTAAGCATGATTTGCCAAAAACCTGACTAACAATTAAATTTTGAGAATATCTTTTTATTCTGTACTTGCTTAATAGTGTCCTTATTTGGCAAGTAATATCCATCAAATTTGGTAACTTCATTTAACTTTTTATAATTTATCACCATTCTGATTTTTCCTCTTTTTATCTCACTATATTTTCTAACCGTAAAGGCTGGGCTGCTATGTGAGCTTTTACTATGCCTAATCAATTTGACTTCTAGCAGTTCTTTTATCTGGTCTTTAAATTCATTTTGGTCATCTACACTATATTTCATGGGTTTGACTCTTACTATAATGTCTGGATTGATTAATTCTATTTTTACCTTTACTTTGTCTGTATTCCATTTTTCTAATGGATTTTCAGAATATGTTTTAGAAATTTCTTTTTTCAATTTTTCTAACCTATTTTCTGTTGTCATTTTTAGGACTGTAACTGGTTTAAATTTTTCTATGCTCCAACATCCACCACGCTGGGTTGAGGAACTTTGATGATTTATGTCTTTATATGCTATGGTAACAGCCTTATTTATTTTTGATGTAAATATTTTGTCTGCACAAGGAGTTGTGAACATATACTTATCAATATATTATGTAAATGGTGCATATTTTAATAGAAAATTTTGTCATAATAAAATATCACATCCAATTATGTTTGACATATAGATTGTATCAACAAATATTTCTCTAAAGGAAATTAGAAAAGGTACTTATGTAGTATATTTGCTGTATATTACCTTATTTCCACCTGCTGTTATAGCGGTGACGATCTTCTTTGAATTATATTTTCAGTATTCAGATTGTAGTACATTTGGTAAGCATAGACTTATTGTACTTCCTGTATCTAAGTAAGCATAAAATTTATTCTGCAATAACTTTTTATATTGGGTATAATTTCAATATATGGACTCATGGGATTAGTACTAATTACTCTTTCCATGATAACAATGATTTCATATTTTCATCTATTCTTGATATGATGATTAGATTATCATCAACTGTTATTTTTAAATATCCTTGGCAGATTTTATAAAGACTATGTTTCTCAAGAAAGTTTATTCCTAGTAGTATAGGTGAACGATCAACTCCATATAATTCATCTTTCTATAGAATTATTTCTTTAGTATATTCTTTATGATCCTCTCCCATAAGTATAAGAGGGAACTTTACATATTTTCTTATTTCAAGATCATTTCCTAAATAATCCTTAAATATATATGGTTCTGGTATTTCAAAATCTATTAAATGACTAACAAATTTAGCATTTACATGACTTTTATTTGCTCCAGTATCTATGAGGACAAGAAGATTCTTCTTATATCATTCTTGATTTACATATCTTGTTTTGATATAATATTGCGAGCTTGATAGTTCAGCAATACTTAATTTCTTAATTTTGCTTATCTTAGAGTCTTGTCTAGAGGGGAATCTCGCAATAAGATTATCTCCTTCTAGGCTAACACTATTTCTTTTTATCAGTTTTCCTTCAAAATTAATTTCTCTAACTTGTTTGTGGAAATCAAGCATTATCTGTTCTGGTATAGTGATTTCATGTTCTTGGTATTTCCTAGGAGGTATATATTGTACTAATTCCTCAAAATCTTTATATATGATAATATTATCAGTTATTTTTCTTAGATTGTTATGATGGCTAGTACTAAAAACAAAAATTGATTTTATATTTATACTAATAGCCTTACTTTTTCGTAACATTTTCAAGTTTTTAATTCTATAATATAGATTAAAATTTTGTTCAATATTTTCATCAATTAGTGATATTGCATAATTTTGTTTTACTGTAAATATTATCATTTGATAGACTAAGTTTTCTACAACTATTCCTAGTAGAGCATCTATAAGATCTTGTAAGATTCTGTTGTCCATACAATATATTTTTATTGGTATGTTCATACCTTCTCTAAAGAATCATTTTACCATTATCTGGACTCCTCCTATTTCAATACATTTCAATTTGTTTCTTATGTTTTCCAGAATTTTAGATAACTTTTGTTTCACCCATTCTTTTGTAATTATAGGAATTCTTACTTTTCCTATAGTATCTTCTATATTGATAGACATTTTTTTATAATTCATACTTACAATTGTTTTATTTACTCTTGGTAGTATTCCTAAGAATACTTGATGGAATACATCTTTTTCTTGTAGGTCTATTATTTTCTTGGTTATTCCTTTGTATTTTTTAATATCAAAGGTAATTTCTTGATTTATACCTTTTATTGAGTCTTCAACTTCTTCAGTTGTTTCTACTTCTATTTCTAGATCTGATTGTTGTATCTCTTGATTCATATATACATCTCCTCAGAATCTTCCTCTGATGAGGATTTATCTAATTCATAAATGCTACTGCATTCATTACTTAAATCTTCAAAATATTCAATTGGTTCTATTTCACTATCTTCTTGGAATTTTTCATAAATTCTAAGAGTTTTTATATTTTGTCTATCCTTCTTTTTAGGACATTGAGGGGCAATGTGTCATTTTTATTACAAATGAAACATCTACATTTTTTAATATTTCTTGGTTTGGATTTTTTATTCCAATTTCTTTTCTTGAAATATTTTTTGTGTGGTTTAAAATTTCTTTTCTTAAATTTTTTGTAGTTTTTGAATTTTCTTTTATATTTCTTATATGATTTATATTTCTTCTTATGGCATCCAAATTGTTCAATTTGGCCAATATCTTTCTAACAACATAAGGAATTTTTTCTTATCTTATATGCTTTTCTATTCTCTAGAGTTTCTCTGCACCACATGTCTATCATTCTTTTTGTAAATTCAATCATAATTTCAAGACTATCTATTTTTACTCCTTGCTCTTCTCCTAGGGGTAATAATTTTTCATATTCTTTTAATAACTTAATTCCCCATGGGAATTGTAACTTTGTAAAATAAGACTTTAATATAGGCTTATTTTTTTGATAATCTCCTTGATTTAATATATAGTATAATTCTTGAAATTTCCATGTATATCTTTCTAATTCACACATATCACATATTTTTAAATTTTCCATTACTATCATTCCTTCATTATATTCATCTTGTTTTCTTTCTTCTTCATTAGAAGCATATCTATCCCCCAGGAACTATATTCTTAAGGCTTTTTCAAATCTTTTTAATATTTCTTGTATATTTTGATCATTTAAAGTATTCCTGTTATCTAATACTTCAGTTCTATTTTCTCCATACTTTATTCTTTCTTTTATAGATTTTGGTAACTTTCTCCACCATTCAGAAACAATTTCTCTAAATGTATGTTCTATAAATTCAAAAGATATATATGTTTCCCATTTATTAAATTGTATTGCTAAGTCTGTACTTTTCATCCATGTTTCAATAGCTTTATTTTTATCTACATAGTCTAGATCTAACCATATTCCTGTTGTGTAGATTGGTTCATTATAAAATTTCATTGGATTTATTTCTTTTATGGATTGTTTTCTTATATTTCCAGTGTATCTTTTCTTTGTTTTCCTATATTGATTAATACCATCTTTAATAGGTATCGTTGTATGATAAGGATAATCATATTTTTCATCACTACTGAATTCTATTTTTATATTTCGACTTGCTGATGGATTAATATCCATCTTCGTATTTTCCATTTTTCAGTCAATTCTTCTAACTGTTTTTTATATTCATCATATTTTTCACCAGTAAATTCTAAAAATTTTTGTTCTAGTTCTTCTACATCTGTAATCATATATTGATTTTCTTCATGTTTTTTCCCTTTATTATTTTCCTTTTGTGTTATCCTAAAATCTTAAGGTGAATTAATTATAATCCTATATTTTCCTTTAAGGTTTTTATCTAAAAGAGCATTTCCTATTTGTAGATTATGTTCTAAATTTTCTAATCTTTTGTGTATATCCTCAAAACTTTCATTTGTGGTGTTTTTAGGTTAGTAGGGATAACTTGGTTTTTTATGTTTTTCAACTTTTTTTCAAAAAATCTTCAATTATATTTTCTTCATCTACTAAGTTCATCATAATTTTAGGTTCGTAACATGGCTCTGATATCATTTCATCGGAGCGTGCAGCGGAGGGGTTAAGATTTTGAATCCAATTAAAATCTTTATAAGTATTTAAAATATTACAATAGAATTTATAAAATTTACTATCTTTTGTCAAAACTTTTTCTTCAATAATTATATTTAATTTGTTAATTCTTCTTTCCAGTTTAAGAATTAGTTTATGTATATCACTTTCTATTTTGATTGCTCTATAATCTATATAAACATTTTTATATTTTAATTTTGGATCTAAATATTCAGTAAAGAAACTCTTCAGATCTTCTTTTGAATAATTTAATTCATTATTTGTTGCATTTCTTAGATCAATAAAATTTTGTATAATATTTGGACTTAAATTTATTAAAGATTCATAATCTATATTTCTTTGGGGACCTAATTCAAGGTTTTTATACATTGTAATAGCTTTGGTTGCAAATTCTCTATGAGGAGTATTTTTGGAAAGATTATTATTCAAAGGTTATTCTTCAAACAATTATCTTTTCAGGTCTAATCTTACAATTCACTCTTATATTTAGGTTATTTGCAGGTATTTCCCCATCTCCTCCTAATCTACTCATGCTCAACACCTGGAAGGTTGATCATTCAAATAAATGGAAAGGTAAACAAGGTCAATTTATAGGATCGTTTTAAAAAGCAGAATTTAATTAAGAGGGTGATATCAATACAGCAAAAGAGGTGTTGTCTAGTTCAGTGCTTATGATTGCAAGCAAGATTTTTAAATATGGTTTTAGATAGTAATTTCAACCACATTGGTCAGATTTTAGAATTTTAAAATAAATTCAAACTTTATATGGGTAATTAGCATAAAATATCACTATCGTTTGCATTCATTGTGCAAATCATCTCTATCATTCTAAATTCAGTATTTACAACCTCATTTCAATCCTTTTTGTTCATTCTGTTGGGTCCTTCCATTAAATAGACACACAAATTGCATTTATATCATAAAAAAGGGGCAATTTTGTCAAGCCGCTGCTCTTACAAAAAGTGGCATCAAGTAGTTAACTTTGACTGAGTAAGAATTTCTTCAAATGAATGATTAATTCTTTCAAATAACCATTATGAACGGTACCATTTTCACTATGTATTGAACCATTTCCATTGCACATATTTAACTATCACTAAATCCAAAATCTAAAATTTCATAGACATTCCCAAGCAAACATATGACATAAATACGTATTGGAAATGTCCTTTTTTGCATAACCAATGTCCAAATAAATAGAATCGAGAGCTTTCTCCTAATCCTAGCTAGCTCTTCTCATCAAATCAATCAATAACTTCGTAAAACATCGTAAAGATTTAAATGAATATTCACACAGCCTCAAAAACCATGGTGTACTCAACTTGTGACTAAATTGAATCTTGATTTGCATAGAAAAACCTATCATCCAAATTATATTTTTCGTTTTATTCATCTCTCCATTCAATAACAGGAACATAGCATCCTTCTTTAATTGGATCAGACCTCCCAACATGCTCATTTAGAGGTGGATTTAAATCGTCAGATGAAAGTGCTCGTTTCTCTTTTGAAGGTACAAGATATATCTCCTCAACCCTTGCTTCATTTCTATCCCTCAGCATATTTTTTACATCTTGCTCATTGTTAATTCTACATAACCTTTTCCCGATTATGCCTCTGGCTTCCAATAGAATAGTTTCAATTCCTTATTAGATCCACGGGCTTTTATAAATTTGTTCAGCATTTGAATTGTCAATAAAGTTGGATGAATGAAATCCATGCACAGCACCGAACCATGCTTATATGTGATGTTGTTTGGCATATCAAAGAACCTCCCACCATAGTGGACCTTCATTGTGAAATAATCTGTATTAGGACCTGTATGAACAAGGTAATGACATTCAATTACGAATGTATTTTTCTGCAATATAATTACGTGCATGCAGATTACAAGCCCCCTATCAATATATATATATATATAATCGTCTTCAGGTGTCTCCTCTTGATAAAGTCTGAACCTTGGATATTGCATTTCTATATAGATAAGATATTAAAGAAAGCTCAATCAAGAAGTACAGAAACTTTTGAATAAAGAAAAAATGAATATGAAAAAATGAAAGCATAGAATGAAAATGAAAGAAGATTTAAATCTTACATGGACAGAATACCCACTAGTTGCTACTATTCCCACATTTGAATAAACAAAAATTGAAAACACAAACACTTTTGTTTATGGCAGAAGAAGTACCTTTAGTTAAATGGACATAATTAATAACGAGGGTTGTTTATTGGGTAACAAAATAAAAAAAATGAAAGCACGAATTTTTGTGTGGTGATTTTGGGCAGATTACACCGTCACCATAACACCATAATATTAGATAAACTCTTGTATTAAGTGGGAATCTTGAAACAACACAAACTAATCAACTTGAGCAAAGAACTTCAAAGCCACAAATATTCTCATATAATTGAATAAACTTGGCTAAAATACCTATCATTCCATATGAATTCAACCATCAATCTCAGAAAACTCCATAGAAAATATGTAAAATCACTAGTATTGCATATTTATTACTTAACTGGAGGAGTAGAATGGAGTGCAAACAGGTAGTGGACTAGGGTTCTTCGCACCGAAAATGAAGTTGGGATTTCTCTCAATTCACATTTTTTGCAATAGGACTCTGTTTGCTAGCCTTCATGTTTATTCAGTAGGAAAAATAGTGGTTTGGCAAAATTACCCTTTTGATATGATCTAAATGCAATCCATGTGTATTTTTAGCAGGAGGAACAAATGGAATAGACAGAAAGGACTAATTCTGCACAACCAAAAAAAAAAAAAAAGGTTCAAATAGGTTGTAAATGTCAAATTTAAAAGGATATGAATGATTTGCACAATGGGTACTAAAGATCATGGGCAGACCCATGGGGGGTCACAACTTTTGAGATTTTTTCTTTTTCTTTTTGGATAAGTTCTATTTGCTATCAATTGAAATCTAAATTTTAATATAAATCAAAGTTAACAATTAATTTTAATAACATATTTCATACGATCCGTAATTTTTTAACTTTTATCAAAATATACTAAAAATCTAATTTTAACCTCCACTAAATAGGGGCAAAATCACAAAAAAATTGAAATTTTTTCTCTTTTCTCTTGCTCTATCTTACGCTCACCCTCACACCTTTTACCAAAACCTTAACTATTCTAATTTTTTAAAATTTTACTATAATTTTTCCATAAATTATCATATCTACTACAAATTTTCACTTTCCAATCAAATTTTCAATTAATTAGAATCTAAATTTGCATTTTCTTTTATCATATTTGTATACATAGAATGGGACTGAATTGATTATATCCAATTTAACTTATATTTAAAAAAATTGTATTTATTTGATTGAATATTGGTTATATGTTTTTTCTTTTAATCACTTGAATTGATTGTTTATATTAAATACACTATAAATTTTTTAAATATAAATATGTATTTTCTTATGATGAGCAAAATATTAATAAAATGATCAGATGAATGAAATGATGAGCAAAATATTAATGAAGAAATTTTTTTTAAATGTAAATTTGCATTTTTTCGGTCAATTATAAATCATTCAAAAATCAAGAATAAAGTATTCAATTTGTAAAAATTTTGATTGTGTCCTCCTAACTAAGAATCTCTGTGTCTGCCCTTGCTAACGATAATGATGTTTTTGTGCTACTTACCCATATATATACGCTTGTATATCTTTGAGAGAAATGATTCGTGCAAGTAGCAGTTTCTACATACAGCAGAAAGAATTGCAAACAGGACCCAGCATTTTCACAAATTTATATCTCTACCCCTTAACTTTTTCTTGATGCATGCATACCACTTAATTGTAAACTTTTAGGGAAAAAAATTTGCATTGTTGATCTTCAATTCGTAGTAGCCAAACTAGCAAAATAGTCCAAATTTTATAAAAGTAGGCTTATATAATTTAACGAGAACAGGTGTTCATAAATTTCATATTAGACTTGTTTTCACGAGAGTCACATAGGGGAGACAATAAGCAAATCAAGCTAGCTCGATCCTTAAACACTCTGAGATCGGCTCGAGTCCACAAATTTGAATCGATTTGATCATTTGACATGCAAGATCTCTCATGAAACGAGTTGGACTGTATACAAGCCAGCTCGTTTTTTAAGACATTAATAAAACAAATCAACAATGAGCCAAAATAAGTCTATCCACCAGCTGACTCATGAAAAATGACATCCGACTTGACTCAAGACTCGTCTCAAAACAAGCCCGAGCTGGGACAAATCAGGTCAGCGAGTAACTTGACCCATTTGTCCCAAGGTCACGTGATGATTAAATGAAGTGGGGTAAAATATTTTGATTACATAATTAAAATACAAAGCCAATTTGACCATTTAGGAAAGACAAGATTTGGCCAATCACAAATAATAAAGCCTAAATAAATGCTTGATTAAAGGGAGAGAGGGGGTTAGATGGGCCAAGAAAGAGTTGCATCAACAGGGTTAAAGAGATAGCAATTTGAAATCTGGGAAAAAGTCGAACGAGTTGATAATTTAAAGTCAAAATCAAATTGATAAATTGTACAACAATTTCAAAACCCAACAAACACATAGGAGGCTTCACATTCATGGTGGGACGTGATTCTATTTCCACAAAATTCAACGCAATATCAATAATCAAATCCACAAAACAAATGCAGTCAGATTCTAGAATAAGGTCAAATGTTAGATCAGTTCTTTTGGGAGAAATGTAACATACATCAAATATTTAGAGCTTATTTGATCTCCATTATTTTCAAAATATATTTTTCTCTCTTTTCCTTTCAACTGTACATTCTTCAATAAAATAATATTACATGCAAATCTACAACTTTTTTACTTTTTAATCATACATTCTATATCAATCTACTATTCCAAAATGTATTCTTAGCCAAAAATGAGGTTTAAGCAAGTTGGTTCAATTTTCCAAAATGCATTCTTGCATAAATTGCAAAGGATCAAAATCGTTCAATGTTGCGTCTTTTAAGTAACATTTACTTGACTATTATAATAAATAATTTATTTCGTCTTTGAACAATTAAAATATCATTTATTTAAAGTAACTTATTTACTTTATAAGCGAACTTTTTAAGCTTATACCTACATATCGTTAGAACATAAAATGGAATTATTTATAAATCAATGACAAAGAACCATATACGACTCAACCTGAAATGGCAAAATTGATTTAAGCCTGCCAAAAAAAACAAAATTAAAAATCTCTGTCTAAAAATCCGGAACTGCAGAAATTTGTAATGCATGGATTCTTGTCACACAGATATTTACAGATTTCGAGGAAAAACAAAGTTAAGGACGCTGAATATGGACATTATAAGCCTGCCAAAGAACAAGTGTGTCGTCAGGCATACTTGCAGTTGGATTGATAGCATGAGACTAATATGAACCTATAACCAAGCTTGATGCATTCAGTTTCACTTTTTTCAAGATAAAATTCTAAGATGACTACAATTGCACGAAATATTTTAAAATATGTAGCCCTTTCCAAAACTAGTAGATCAAATAATGTGCATGGCATTGGCTAGAACAAATCCTCATGGTACTTCTTAAAATGCTTATTGCCAAGTAATCAAGCATACTACAGAAGAAGAAAATGTTACCTTTTCATTCAATTTTCTGGTTTTGAGGCTGTGAGAAAAAACCTTTTGCATTGCGTGCTACATCAGCCTCCAGTACTGCCTCCAATAGTATGTCAGATCCCTTTAAGTCATCTGAAACAAAATTCACTAATAAGTTCATAGAGCACATAGGTTTGCATCAAGCCATCAGTATCTTTATTCCGTAAATGTAAATTCTAGATCCATAGATCCCTTGATTTACACTCTTTCAAGGCATTTGATGTAATAAATGGTTAAAGGAAATAATCACAGCAAAATTAGTGCTTAATGATGAGTAACAAATATATTGAAACAGACTCTTAGAAATAGTTACCTTTTCGGTTTGGTAACAATCCGGCACTTTCAGCGGATACAGGGAGGACAGTAAACTGACCAGACTCATCGGTTAATTCACGAAGAACTTCATCAGTAGACTTTGCACCTACGGATGTGGATTCAGCCAATCTTGTACATGCAGTTGCTTGTCTATGTATATCAGACAAATCTAAGGTTGGTGAACTATGATCCTTGAGGCAATGCAGTCATCAAAATGTTAATGAAATGCAAATCATTCACTAAAAGAGGCATAATGGAGTTAAGATATTATCATCGTAATCGAGATTCACAAGTACTAAATACCTTCAAAGGGGCAGCAATTGTAGCGTTCTTAACTCTTGCTGAGTTCTCTTCAGAAGGTTTCGAAGTTTCTTCGTCCACTAATTTCAAAAATAATGTACCAAAATTAACTCATAAAATTGGATGTCACCCACGGTTTCCAGTATAACATTGAAAGCTTAAGCAAACTGATACCAATGCCAGAGGATGTATGCTGAGCAACATTGTCCACTACCCTAGTTGTTAATGGACCAGGATTCATGAAAGAAATGGACCGAATTTCATGACGTATGGCTTCCAACTGAGTCATTGTATCTTGCAGTTCTTTATGCACCTGTCAGTTTTATTCGACAACTTCACATTTGAAAAGCAAACAAGTCAAAAATATCATTCTGGTACACAGCAAAGGAAAAAATAAAAAAATAAAAAAAATTTAAAAAGGGTTGGAAATGAAATCAATACTTGGAATTAGTTTTATAGTGTTACATATGAATTTTAATAAAGCATGTCCTACTTACAAATAGGACATCCACAATAAGTAAGACTTCTTAAAGAACGGCAGATCAAAATGTCATCAATACTATCTTGGTACACAAAATTAACACAATGGGATTCTGTTTCGCGCGGGTTAATTCGCTAACAATTAAAGAGGATCAGACGATTGTGTAAGGGACGAAACCTCTTGAGACAAAGTCCCAAAAAGGGGTGTTCTTTTTATTGGCGATGAACTTTACAATTGGAAACGGAAAACAACGTGCCTCCAAGGGGCGCAAGCACACGAGTTACAGAAAAGGAAATGTTTAAGTCTAAAAGCTAAAGGAATGAAAATTACATATTCTTTGTTCGAGAGTTTTTGATTTGGTCCTTGCTTCTAAGTTCTTTCTCCCTTTTATACTTCATAGGCGATCCCTTTGTGATTAACTGCTCTAAAAAACTGCTTGATCGCCCAATAACTACCCACTTTCTTTGTAATGGCCACTTTGTCATGCAACTGTCTTTTAACTGCTGCCATTATCTTGCATCATTCAACCGCTTTCGATTGAACCCCTTGAGTCGTGGAACGTGATGAAATTACTTTAGCAACTGCCTCAATAACTGCATCATAATGCGTTATGTTTGTTGATACCTTGGGCGACTTGAAGATTTGGGCAAGACTTTGGACGACCGTATGCCACTCTATTCGTTCTGACTTTGAGCGACTTGCAAACTTGGGCAATGGCGTTACCGCACTATTGGGCCCCTTATTTGGGCATTCACCTTGATTCGTTCAATTGGATTTCGTTCTTTGGGCTATCTGATTTGGGGACCCTCCAATTGGACTTTATTCTCTGGGCTGTTCTTCTCAAAATAAAAATTGTTGAATAATTTTACAGAAAATCACATGTATTACTTTATTATTTGAGGATAACTGGACAGGAGCATAGTTATAGACAAACTTGCCTAAGCAAGCATTTAAATAAGGCCTTAAATATTATGAGAATCTGACATTTTATTTTAATTAATGTTCCGGCACTGTTGGGTACGTTTAGTCAATTGAATAGATCAAAATTTAAAGAAAACAAATAACTTTTTCACCAATTTTATTATTTTTTATTCAACAGCATTTTCCTAAATATAATATATAATTTTTATGTTATTCACGCATAAATATTTGTGAACTTAAACAAAATAAAAACGAAAATATTTAAGAAATAAACAAGATATTGACCCAATTGAATATTGTGTAGGGTTCTTCGTGTTCTTATAGTTTGAACAATAATAGGAGGAGATATATCAGATCTGTTGATGTTATCTCACATTGATTGTGGACGGAATTGATATTCAGTTTATAAGTGTAAAGGAAAGTCTCACATCTTAATCTAACTTTTGAGGTGAGAAGAGCCAATATTAACCAACACTAGTATCAGAGTCCGGTTTATCAACAAGTTTTCAAACTAATAGTCATGGAGATACGAGTTTGTGTGAGGAGGAGACGGGTTTGGTCTCTCTCAAGCCCCGTTGTGTGACGGGGAGACAGATTTGGTCCCCTGTAGGTCCCGATGTGGTATTTACCTATTTGGTCTCCTGTAAATTCTGATGTGTGAGGAGTGAATGTTGACCAACATCGATTGTGGATGAGGTTGATATTCAATTTATAAGCGTGAGAGAAAGTCTCATCTTTTGAGTTAACTTTTGAATGAGAGAGATCCAATACCACGCAAAAAAATCATGCACTAGCATCAAGCATGGTGGGTAACTGATCTTTTCTTAGATCATGATAAGTGTTATCGTCTTCTAGAAAACAGATTCCTAAATAATTATGTCCCTTGGTGCCCAGAATAGACTTGTTTATTTTTCAAGTACTTTGTCTTTTTATGCACAACTTCTGATTTATTATAAATAGACTCTAGTACTATGCGCTATTCATTTATACATTTTTTTTGGGCCCTGCATTAGTCCCTCATTAATAAAGAGAGTACAAAACATTTTTCTCTTTTGTCATTTCTTGTAATTTGAAGTGTAGTTAACACAACGAGAGATAATTGTATCTTGGGAGACTATTGTTTAACACTGAGCACTTGCGTGGCAAATTGGTCTTACAAATAAAGATTTAAACTTTTGCCTCGATCTACCTATTTTTCTTACATTTTTTTAATTTGAATTCAATTTCAGCCTTTGTTTGAGCCCCATTTTATTGAATAAATAGATTTTGTAATGATTTTGTGGAGAATGTGTGGTTAAAAATAAGAATTTTTTTTTTAAAATTTACGTGTAAAATTGTTTTATTAGAGGAATGTGTGATTGAAAATAAGTTTGAAAATAATGAGACTCAAACAAGGGCTCAATAAGTATTATCTTCACTAATATCGAGATAAATCGAGTTTGACAATCTACTCTATAAACTTCGTATTACATCTCCCTCTACTCTACCAATTTGTTGTGACATTGTTTGAATCACTTATTCGTGTGTCAACTTGATGTTCAACTCTAGAATGTAACTAATGCATTCATTCTTCTTGTGTCTGAGCAAAAATAGTAATTAATCTATATATATTTGTATGATATTAAATAAATTTTTTATTAAGACTGATGGTAAACTTTGTATGATATTTTTTTATCTATATATAAAATAGCAAGACATTTTTGATTGGAAACTTACTTGAAATCTGAATTGTAAAGGAACTAAAATTGGTATGAAAATGAGATCGAGGTAAGAGTTGAACTCTTTGCTCTTATGACGAATTTGGCCCGTACAGGTACAAACAGTGGAATGGAAATCTTCTCTCAAGATACAAAGATTTTTTCTAGTGATGGCAGCACTTCAAATCACAAAAATCAATAAACCAGATAGTATTTCGTACCCTTTCTTCAATGTAGAATTCAATGTAGAATGTTATGTAATATGCAGAGCTAAAAATGAAAGATATGGAAAATAATGATATGAATTCTGCAGAACGTAGGGATCGTATTTATAAATAGGTCAAAAGTTGTGACCAAAAAGACACAACTTGTAGGTTATGCCTTGTCAGACACAAAAATCCGATGACACATGTCACAATCTTGAAATTTTTTAAAACTAATTAATCATTTCATTAATTAATAAATGAATAAAACAAATTATTTATTTTTCCAAAAAGAACATATAGGATAAACCCATATCCAAGTTCAACTGACCATGACCCACGACCCGTGTCGAGGCTATTAATCGAACATACAGCAACGACGCAATAGGGTCTAGGTCCTCCCCTTTTAAGACTAATATTACCCCTTAAGGTCCAAACCCAACTCTAGAGGTAGAGCGTTATAAATAAGTAAAAATAAAATTATTCTCTGTGTGACAAAGTTAACTCTTTGTCCTATTTTATTCCAAGTAATATATTTCTAAAACCTTATTTTAGGCATTAATTTATCATTCACTCAAAATTAGTTTTAGACATCTAAATATATCAAAATCATCTACTCATGGAGTGAAACGTATTCGACTCTTATCCCACTAAAATTAAATAGTGGGACCCATAAAAATATTGGGTTGTGCCGTATTTTCTGTGAACCCCACCAGAATACACATAATGGAGGATGAGTGGATTTTTTTTTAATAATATTAGGCCCACGCATATGAGTATTTTGAAAGAGTTCACCCTTCCTCTGTACACAAATTGACTCATAAATATATGATCAAAGATTGATAAAAATCTTTCTTTATGAACTTATTTCTGACAGCTCGTTTGATGGTCTGCACCCATGAATCACTTAACTTGAATTGAGTCGACACCTCAATAGCAACAAGAGAGAATGGAGTTCAACCTTGATCAACACTTTTTTCTCTAACAATTCATATAGAAGGTTGAAAGGTCAATGACATTGTCTCCTTAAGATTGATCAGCTATTTAGATTATAAGTTCGACTCGTACCTTAACAATATCTTGTTGGTGGATGATAATTTTCAAACTCTGATTATTAAAAACCATTCTACATCTTATAAATATACGGTATTCCAGATCTCCTATAACTAATAGTAATGAAACTTGACACATTGGGGGGCTCTGGAACCAAGCGTGGGGAGTTCGATTCCTGGTGGGAACCTTTGATCCAATAAAGGAGGAATTATTGGTGGATTAATCACCATGGAGGAGGCTTCCTTTGGGGAAGGAGTAAAAGCCATATGGGAATCTGGGAACCAACAATGGCACATCCTGCGATTTACCTCCCTGAGCAGCTGAGGGGCCGGAGGTTCAGGGACGAGGATATATAGTCTAGCGCAAGTTGGGACATATCGTTAACAAAAAAAAAAAAAATAGTAATGAAACTTGAGTATTATTTTAAATGGATTTCATTTAATAGTACAAGAACAAAGTACAAATTGTATAATGCTATTTAAAAAGGTTGAACCCCCCAATTTTGAGAGCCTCATCGCTTCGCCCCTAGAGCTTTGTGAGGGAGATAAATC